TTGGCTGAGGTTACTCAGTTTTCTACACTAGCTCAAGCACGGAGTTCAGAGGTCCCTGTAGTTATGTGTGGACTGTCACAAGGCAGTGATCTACTACCTTTATCATTCCACCTGGCGAACCATCATATTGTTCGGCCAACCAAAACGTTGAGGTTGCCAATCGTACGAATTTCTTCAATTCATTTACAATGTGAACGTTCCTGTAGATTGACTGACATTCTCCATGCGTCGAACATACTACATTCAGCAATCCGTTAGTACTGACATAGTAGCTCAACTTATTGAACGTTCAAATCTCAGGAGATATCTCTTTGTCAGAGGCAAGAGTTGTTAGACCTCTCATTTCCCTCGACCTGCGAGATGCCTACCTTCAAGAGGCGTCATTACCAATGGAGGGTCCTGTTGTTTGGCGTATGTACAGCCCGTGGCTTTTTACTCAGGTACCCAATCCAATAACAAGCTACCTGCATTGTGGAGGCGTGACATTCGAGAACTATATCGATGACTGTGTTCAAGCCCAGCAGGATCCAGTTGTCCAACTCCACAGGCAGTTCATCATCAAGTTGCTCATGCAATTAGGGTGGCTGCTGAATTCAGAGAAATCGGAGGTAACACCGACCTGGTGATTACTTTTTATTGGGACAATATTCAACACGACAGGTCATGATGTTTGTGCCCCAGGAGAGGTGGGACAAGATTCAGTGCAACGTACCACAAGTGCTGGTCTAACCCACAACTTTTCGCCAGTGGCAGAAGTTACTTACTTACAGGGGCCAGCTGCAGCTTTCCCTCTTCGGATGTTTCTGTGCCCTTACATCCGGGACGACAACCCCAGAGAGTTGATTCATTTTCCCGCAAAACTACATTCAGTCTTTCGTTGGTGGCTCAACAAGTGGAGTGTTTGCGGTGGAATGACTATGTTTGTCTATGGTGCCTTCATACCGACTCAACGACTGTTTGTTGACGCATCTCTCAGGGGCTGGGGCGTTCACTTTCTCCATCAAGTGGCCTAGCAGTGATCATCAGGAGAAAAGGCCCTTCATATCAACAAATTGGAATTCAGCACTGTCATTCTCGCCGTTTGGTTTTGGGCAGTTGAATTATGGTCCTTTCATATACTGACTCAATCAGATTATTTGATGGTAGTTTGGTACATAAACCATCAGGGCTCGACAGGATCAGCAGCTTTGCTTCAGTTGATGTTTCGAATTTATCATGTGATCGATTCACTAAACATAGTGGCCAGAGCCCGACACATTCCCAGGACGAGGAATGTCCTTGCCGATGCCCTGTCACATCCCAAACACCCATCACCCATCACCCATGGAGTGGAAAATACTGCCCCTGACATTCCAATCGATGATCTACCTGTTATCACGACCAGATGTAGACCTGTTAGCCACTCGGTACAACCATCAGCTTCAGCGCAGATGATCACCAGTTGTGATCGTTTCTGCTTTGTGTACAATCTGAATAAAATTCTGAATTTCATTTCTGATTTGTGTCTTCGATTCTTCCGGGACTTAGATTTCTCCTCTCAATTTAATTTGAGACTCTGGAGAGTCGCCACCTCACTTACTGTTGTCTGCTCTATGGAGTAATTACGTCAGTGAAGTGAGTCATTCCCGAAGTGTTACACTTCATAGCGTTCATGCTCCTAAGCACCTATACACATCTATGTGATCTTACTGTGGGCAGTAGTGGAAGTCATAAGATGTTGTTGTACTGAACGTTGAATTGTGAGTTTTCCGATTCAATTACCCTTTCACCCTCCACAGGACAGTGTCTGTGGGGGTTGTTTCGAAGCAGGGGCTGGCCCGATACTAGTCGTTAGACTTTTATTACGGGGGTACCTTGGAAATCGTGGTAATGCGACTGATTACACTCGCTAAGCTGCATCCTTTCACTTTCGTGAAGGTAGTGACTGAACACCACATTGCTCAGGAATCCCGGTCCCGGGGAGCACTTATGCTTAATAAGTCAATGGGTTCAAACTATCCGTCGCATGTAGTGACCTTGGTAGTTATTGACCTACCTTGTCGTTGCTTCCTACGGATGTAGAAGTGTTTGACAATTTCGCTTGCTGACCTCTACTCCATGGAGCAATCACGTCATGTAGTGAGTCCTTCCCGATTTCCTTATGGATTTCGTAGCATTCTAGCTTGTAAGTACCTTAGCACACCGTTGTGACCTAACTCTGGTAAGTAGTGAAAGTCATGTGGTGTTGTTTTGGTACTGAACGTTAAACCTGTGAGCTTTTCCGATTCAGTTTCCTTTTCCCCTCTTCGTGATGGGGTCTGGGGGGCAGTCTCGAAGCAGGTATGGGCCCGATTACTACTCGTAATTACAGGGGTACTCTGATAAATTATGGCAAAGCAAGGTGACTTGGCTAGTTGCGTTTTCTTGCGTTTGCAAGGGTTGCGGCCGAACACCACATTGCTCAGGAACACCCACACCTTGGGAGAGTTGATGCCTAGTACGCCAAGGGGTTCAGGAGAACCCATTACTAGTGTAGGTACTATGCTAGTCAGATCCTGCGGCCGAAAACCACATCGCTCAGGAGCACCTTTCCTTGTTAGCAATGATGCCAAGTAAGCCAAGGAAAAGTTCTCATTCGTTCCACTCAGAGTCGAAGCAAGAGAAAGAAGTGCAAATCATGAGATAGGATAAGTATATAAATATACAATTTATATTAAAATTTTCAAGTTGATTTGAATTGTCAGTTTTCTATGCAATTTACATGAGCATTGTGTAAAAAATTTGTATTTGTTCTTTGTAATTATCAAATCCGGTGTTATTATCTCGTGTATCAATGAACTCAGTCTCTACTGATCCATTGTCAATAAAAGCTGGATAGTATATCAGTTATGGTACAGAGCTCCAGATAAGATTTAGCTCATGTGGGTACTGTACCCACTGTATTTTTTTGAAGTGGGTATTATGAATGTTGAGTGGGTATTTCATTTTCCGTTACCCACTGCTTTGAAAATATGTGCGTATTTCAGTCATTTTACTCACCTAAGTATTATGTGACTGAGTAAGTTTACTAAGCAGGTATGTTCTGCCTTATGTCATACCTAATCAAAACCAACTTAAATATAATGGAAATGATTTCATAAAAAATCACTCATCCTATACTGACAGTATAACACTTGTCCTATACTAACAGTACAACTTGATAGCAATCGATGTCTCTTTCATTACGCAAGTTTTTTTATAAATATATTCCGTACGCATTTGTTTTAAACTTTTTGCGTATCTAACATTTTAAATGCGTAATTGGTACGCAACAATTATTTTTCAATGCGTAGTTGGAAATTTTATATGCGTATTTTACCCGGATACGCAGCTTATCTGGGCCTCTGTGGTATCGATACACATGCTTATAATCATTCAGTCAGATTACAGTAATGAGATAATTGAACACCTCTTTCGACCTTGAAATAACAGCCTCCGGAAGAATGCATGTGTAGTTACTGTACACCCTTTTTGAAACGTTTGTCCAGTAGCAAGTGTAAAATAAACAGATGCGATGTTATATCATTTGACAACCTGCTTAATGGAGTCACGCCCCTCTTTTTGTAACGCCCCTCTTTCTGTAATCTTGTGAACCTCATTTGCATTCAGTTTAAATATAGGCACGCCCATCTTCATAAATATTTGGGGGGATTAAACTGCAAGTTTATACATTATAATAATTCAGTATCGTGTCACTTATTTAATTCTATAATATGTGTACTTTAATTTGGATATTCATTCGTGTCAAGGTGAGGATTATATTTACATGTACAGCAAACCATTCTGTTTTATGTACTAGCTGTGTGCGTAAAATGTGTATGAAAATAAATACTATCTCTACTCAATGGTTGGATTTTAATCACTTTGTTTTACTTATCGAAAAACACTAAAATGTGTTTTCGATCTCTGAGATCTATCTACTCCTATTTGTGTATCTCCAATGTGTATATTTCATAGATCGTTAAGATTACCGGTATGTATGTTTACAATACACAGACTGTTTCATGATAGTTTGAGTTGATAAAGCCGAAACCCAGCATATCGACTGGTCAATGGTATAGCCAATAATCAATCTCTATACTGGTGTTGAGTGACCAAACATGGTCTTCAGAAATTTTGCCCACACCCCATCTCCTGTCCTTTCCTCTGTGACAGGTATCTCATGATATGATTGGTCATAGACAACAAATGATCAGCCACTATATTGAACAATTGAGATACCGCACATTCTATTTGGGAAATTTGATGACACCCTATCACGTGACTCTTTGTTTTATGTCTATACAAGGAATCTGTATTAGACAATTTTTTATATGTATGTTCGTATGATAACGTATGTTTTTTGCATTAAATCTAGATGAAACAAAGTTATGAATGTGCAATAAAATTACATAAAACGTTGCAATACATGATATGTATTCACACCTGCTTTCTTTTAACGTGTGTATTTACGACACAATTAAACAATCAGAGCTTGTTTGTACAACTACACAGTTTCCTGTCATCCCTGAAACCTGCCAGGGAAATCAGGTGTGAATAGCACTAATTAGCCTTGCAACAGCGAGCCGGGCAATCAGCGAGGGGTTCCAGGTGTTGAGTAGACAAGTGTCTCTCGGGATTAATGAGTTAAAGCATGTGTTCGTCACACCAAAGACCTGATTTCAACCCTCCCACATAGGTACAATGTGTGAAGAACATTTCTGATGTCCCCTGCCATGATATTGCTCAAATATTGCTAAAAGCTGCACTCACTCACTCCAACAAATGGAGACGTCTTATTAGCTTAGGTTTGGGGAATACCTCTTCTGGGTATTTCCCATTCTGTTTTTCATAACTCAAGTCAATGCCATAAATTATTGGGCCTGACTTATTATTCCTTTCTTCTGAATGACGTGTACTGGTTTCTGCCAATGAATATGGCTGAATTCTTGGTGTTATATAATATATTGCTTTAAACAATATTCACTCACATTTGTTGCCAGGCTGAGCTGGAGGATTTGAACACTGGTGACAGCCCCTCCCCACCCCAGTCTACCCCCAGCCCTGAGAAGATCCCCGCCTCAACACCTCGAACCAGGTGGTCCTACTGCAGGAGAGGTTGAGCATGTACCAACAGGCCTCGGCCAATGCCAAGGCTGCAGGAGATGCTTCCAAACAGAGGAGACTTGACAGGGGGTTGAAGGTGAGGTGTCAAGGTCATTGTATGCCGCTCTCTGATTGGTTGGACACAACATGTATTTTGCTACCTGTGAGGCACTCACCATTGTAGATTTGGGTTGCCATTTTGATATAAAGGTGCAGCTAAGTAAGAACCATAGTCCTTACTTCACCTGTAAATATGTGAGGCTACAATGCAGAGAAATAGCTGTTATTTCACCTTATCTTGACTCATACTTATTGCTTTCTCTTCATTCTCACAAATGTAATGGAAATGTTCTATACTGTGTTTCTCCAAAACAGAAATACATCTCAACCAAACCTTGTCACGTGCATTCACACTGAACCGTGTGACCAATCCGGTTAAACAATTGCTCTATCCAGTGATAGGGAAGCCATCAAGCATGCAAACCAGTGACCTCTCACCTTAGAATCCACAACCATCCTTGTTTCTCATCTTCAGGCTGTTTGTTCTTGCCATCACTTTTGTGACATCCTGTAAACTTTCTTGCTCAGACTTGAATACATTTGACCCTCCATAAGTTCAAAAAGCCACAGTTCATTAGTTTACGAAAACTTGACACATCTGCCCTACATTGTATTGTGGCAATGAATATTCATGGAGATGGAGGAACGCAGTGGACATGAACTCAGAATGTTTACTTAACATTGTCTTAGTGCTAGTCATGTGATGTTTTTCTTCAACACTGACCTCCATGTGGTATTGTGTTTTGTGTTTCTTCCAGACACTGACCGACATGTGTAAGAGAGCCAAGTCAGGCCAACCTGTTGAGGAGAGTGAGATTCCTCCCCCTGTAGCACTCGGTGCTGTCTCAGCTCAGTCCTCACCGAAACATGATGTCTCTCCATCACAGCCAGCTGAACAGCCATCCCCACCTAAACAACCATCCCCACCTAAACAACCATCTCCAGGTATGTCTGCAACTGAATCCAGTCCCTGAAAAATCCACAACTTAACACTACCTTTCAGCAGATCATCCCTGTCTAAGCATCATGTCTCTCCAACAGAAGCATCTTGATAAATCCCTACCTATACATGTGACACTCCAACAGAAGCATTTTGATAAATCCCTACCTATACTTCCTAAACTTGGATATCCCTACCCATGTGACAATCGGGACACAACCATCCCCTACTACCCAGGACAATAGATATCGATAAATCTGACTAAAGTAAGCTCCCTTGTTTCCACTGCCTTAGTCACTGACAGTAACCCCAGCACTCCTTGTGGTACAGCAGCCGACTGTGCCTCACCAACCTCCTGTCATGCCACCAGCTCCGGCAGCAAGTGAGTCGTTGGCTGTTATATAAAGACGTGGAAATAGTGGTGTTCAGTTTCTTTGAAATGAGAACAATGTGATGGGGTTCTGTTTTATTTTCTGTATTTTAAGAAGCATTAATCTCAGTATTGTCAAGTGCACATTTAGAGGCAAATCTACCACCATTTTGTACAAGAGGCAAAATGAGTCAGTGCAGTAATTTTTATCTCATTAAAAGAAAAGTACACATCATGCTTGTACGATGCCTATACCCTCGATGGTAAACCCTTTCAGGTGTAGCTGCTGTGGTGCTCAGAAACAATCCCTTATATAAGATATCCACTGAAATATACTAGCAAAGCCTTTATCATGTTTATTATTCTAAATTGTTTTCGAGATACAGAAATCAGATTTGAGTCAAAATGCTTAGAATGCTCATGCCAAGAATTTAGGAGCCTCAAACCTGATTAGCTGATTAGAAAGTTCACCTTTTAAATCAGATTCAGAGATTTTGATGAGATTCACACTGTTTGAGAATTTTCATTGTCCATGTGTTCTAGGTGATATAAGAATCAATAGGCTGTTGTGATCTACCAGGTATATTCCAATACGATCATACTGTCAGATTAAGTATATTGTGGTAAGATAGCCCTAACTTCGGGAGCAATCAGGCAGATCTATTGGAAAACTTCATAGATATTATGTTAGGATATTACATAAACTGTAACCATTTAAATTTCATGATGCATAGATACATATTAACACGCCCTCTAATTGTGTGGAGTAGCTTTGAGTTGAAAGTGTTTTCTCGTCAGTCTGACAGCCAGTGGTGGATTTCAACTTGGTACAATGCCTAGTAAAAACAAATTAAAACTGAATGGGTAAATAATCTTGTCTTGTGATGTTTAATTGCACATTTGGTGTCCTTATTGATGAAGTTGTCTTCTTTTGTTTGTTCACGTGAAGTGATATGATGTCGTTTCTTACCCCCTGAAAAAATGTTTGACGAAAGTGTACCCCATAGATAAGCTGACCCCCTTCTACAGACTGCTTTTTTTGGTCCTATGTGAAACCTCCACTGTGATATTGCTTGAATGTTGCCAAAAGTGGAATAAACCTTACTCTTTCACTCACCAGATGCCAATGAGGTGAAGGTGATATTGTTAAAAGTGGAATAAACCTTACTCTTTCACTCACCAGATGCCAGTGAGCTGAAGGTGATATTGTTAAAAGTGGAATAAACCTTACTCTTTCACTCACCAGATGCCAATGAGCTGAAGGTGATATTGTTAAAAGTGGAATAAACCTTACCCTTTCACTCACCAGATGCCAATGAGCTGAAGGTGATATTGTTAAAACTGGAATAAACCTTATTCGTTCACTCACCAGATGCCAATGAGCTGCAGGTGATATTGTTAAAATTGGAATAAACCTTACGCGTTACTCACCAGATGCCAATGAGCTGAAGGTGCTGCAGACTAGGAGGGACCAGTACAAGAATGCCGCTCTAATGGCCAGGAAGAACAATGATCTCCCCACTGCAGCTAAATATGTCAAGATCTGTAAAGTAAGTAAAAAAACATTTGCTATTTCACCCTGCCTACACCACAGTCTGGAGCTGGATGGGATTCATCTTGCATTTGAGATGTATTTTTGATGTTATCTGCTGCCACAATGGCTCTTTATGATGGATAACAGTTGATAATAGACAAAATAGGAATACTGTCCTTTGGTAACTGTACAGGAACTTGGCAATACCCTTACTGAAGAGTGAAATAATCATCCCTCTGATACTTACTGAGACCATGAAAGGGCAATACCAGACTGATCATGTCATGTCAGTCACATATATGATACTCAGACATTTTTCACTGCTTTTTGGTCATTTCAGTTTTGGTCTGATATTTTTATTTTGACAGCTTACCTTCTGATGACTGGCCAGATTGCTTTATGGCATTCTATGGCACATGACCACAGACATTTATTCAGTAAACATACTTCATGCAATACTACATTTGGCTACTTCAACAGATGCACACGATTTGATGCACTTCCTTCTAAGTCTGTGTAGTATATTTAGCACATTATGAAGATGTTTTGGTGTTAGAAGTTGGTAGTTAGTTTCTTAGAAAAAGATATGTTGTAATATTTTGATAAAGGATATTTAAATATAAGCTGAACACAAAACAGCACGATCACCAGACATGTTTAACTAGATCCATGAAGGTCTGGGTAAGAACTGGTCTTCCGCAATCCATGCTTGGGATAAGAGGCCACTTGGGGATCTGGTAGATAAGCTGGCTGACTTGGTTGATACGTAATATCATATCCCAGTTGTGTGGATCGATATTCATGATGTCTGTCACTGGATTGTCTGGTCCAGACCAGATTGTTTACACACCACCATCATTTGGTTGCAAGTATCATGAAAAAACAAACAAACATATCCAGAAGTATCCTCTGCATACCCACCTCACCCATCCATCTCTTGTCTACAGCAATTTGACAGTGTCATGGCTGCCGCAGGTGACGGACGACCGATAGACTTGTCCCAGATGCCGCCACCGCCACCAGAATTTGGAGGTGAGAAATGGAAGATTTTCAGAAGTGTGTGATCTTATATACATCTCAGAGAATACCAGCTTCTAAAAGCTTGTAAGAAAGTTGAAACTGTATTGTGTGTTTGTACTCAGTATGACAAATGTGTTTGTACTCAGTATAACCAATGTGTTGGTACTCAGTATGACCAATGTTTTTGTACTCAATATGACCAGTGTATTTGTACTCAGTATGACCAATGTGTTTGTACTCAGTATGACCAATGTGTTTGTACTCAGTATGACCAATGTGTTTGTACTCAATATGACCAGTGTATTTGTACTCAGTATGACCAATGTGTTTGTACTCAGTATGACCAGTGTATTTGTACTCAGTATGACCAATGTGTTTGTACTCAGTATGACCAATATGTTTGTACTCAATATGACCAGTGTATTTGTACTCAGTATGACCAACGTGTTTGTACTCAGTATGACCAATGTGTTTGTACTCAGTATGACCAATATGTTTGTACTCAATATGACCAGTGTATTTGTACTCAGTATGACCAATGTGTTTGTACTCAGTATGACCGTGTTTGTACTCGGTATGACCAATGTGCTTGTACTCAGTATGACCAGTGTGTTTGTACTCGGTATGACCAATGTGTTTGTACTCAGTATGACCAACGTGTTTGTACTCAGGACCCCAGATCAAAGAAACAACACAACCACAAACAGCACCCAGAGTGGAACGAGCTGCACATCAGGCTGCCCCACCCGAACCTGAGGGAGCTGAAGAAGTTCCCCCACCCCCATCAGCAGAGGGTAAGAACTCATCGAAACATCCACTTGATGCATATTTGGATGCAGTGTTGTTTTCCATGGTCAGTGAAATGTTACACAAATCATAAAATACCAGCTCTGGACCCGTTCTACAAAGTAATCTTAGCGCTATGGTGATGGTAAATCTGTGTTAAAGTATGGGGGAGTTATGGTCACCTTAATGCTAAGATCGTTTTGTGCAACTGGGCCCAGCTCTTTGGTCATAAATAACCTCATAATGGCATACTGCCACTTAAGTTAGGTAGATACTATTGTCGTCATCAAATTTAGGACTAGGGGGTGCTGATGTCAATGATGACCTTACAATGTGGTTGTATTGCAGAGGCTCGTGAATTGTTCAAGGCACCACCAGCTCCAGGCTCAGTGATGGAGGCTCTACAGCAGAGGCTACAGAAGTACCAGTCAGCAGAGGCTGAGGCCAAGACTGCAGGGGAGGGCAGTAAAGCCAGGAGGATGGGCCGGATATCCAAGGTACTTCAGTGTGCTGATAATAGACATTCCTTTGTGATGGAGGATATTTTGATGCTGTGAGTGTAGTAGACATATTACACCGTTCACATACTGTAGCGTGTTTCTGTGTGTTCCAGCAATACCAAGATGCTATCAAGGCTGTGAAAGCTGGGAGACAGTGTGACTTCTCGGAGTTGCCTTCACCCCCAGGTGAGTTGCTCAGTCCAGGGGATTGCACCAGATGTGCCAAGTAAGATACTGGTCAGGACGTAGGGAGTCGCTCGTCTTTCCACAGGGTGTGCAACCACTGGGGCTGTGCTAGGTGAGAAAGAGGTGTGTACCTAGGATGTTACCAGGGCGAGTCGCTCGTCAGTCCACAGGGTGTGCACCAGGTAACTTGCTTGTGCATCCAGTTGGACTGTGCCAGGTGAGAAAGAGGGAAAGTGCCAAGTATAATACTGGTCAGTACCTAGTGTGTTACTGAGGTGAGTCCCTCGTCAGTCCACAGCCCCAGATGACATTTTTGTGTGAGTCACTTGTCAATCTGCAGTGTGTGCTGCAGGTGCTGCCCTGTGTCAGTCCACACAGTGTGTCAAGGTGACTTGCTTGTTTGTCCCTGATGTGTTCTATAATGATACTGAATCACTTCCCTACATGTTTCAGGTTTTGCTCCTATCCCTGTTGGTAACGCTGCTCCGGCTGCAGCCCCCTCCAACCAACCTCCAGCAAAGCCCCAGGGTCAGACAGCCCCCTCCCCACAGAAGGCTGCACCTCAACCAGCTCCAGCAGCTGCCAGGCCTGCCCCTGCACAGCAGCCACAGATCATCAAAACGGCAGGTAGGTGGGGCTACTGCTGGCTCTCTCTAACTCACCCTTATCTTTGATGTGCTACATCCATTCATGTAACAGTCTCACACAAGTCTGTTTCTTCTCTAATAAGGACGGGGGGCTGTGGGGTAGCCTAGTGGTTAAAGCGTTGGCTCGTCACGCCGAAGACCCGGGTTCGATTCCCTACATGGGCACAATGTGTGAAGCCCATTTCTGGTGTCCCCCGCCGTGATATTGCTGGAATATTGCTAAAAGCCGCGTAAAACTAAACTCAGTCAGTCAGTCAGTCTAATAAGGACATTGGGGTAGCCTAATTGTTTAAGGCGTTCGCTCGTCACGCAAAAGACCCAGGTTCAATTCCCCACATGGGTACAATATGTGAAGCCCATTTCTGGTGTACCCTGCCATGATATTGCTGAAATATTGCTTAAAGTGCCGTAAAACCATAGTCACTCAATCACTCTTCTCTAATAAGACTTGAATCAAATACTGATTCAAGTGATATAAAGCTCACAAAGAAGAAAAGAGTGTTGGATTTCAAAAAGTTTCCTTGTACAGAATAATTGTCACAGATTGATTACATGTAGCAGATGATATTAACGTTTTGTAATTTTTTTAGTGAAGAGGTAAAACCCATGTTTTCATTTAAAATGTTTCAAGATATAACTCAGATGACTTGGGACATTTGTCTTCATTCCAAAATTGTGACCTCTTGCTTGATGGTATGTGAGTAGAACTTGTACAAGCAAATGACAGGTTCTCTGATATTACTAATGTTTACATTACATTCTACTTATCACTAAGGGTGACTATTGAGGCAGAAACAAATATTGCGATAGCGATAGTCTATTGCGACCAACTATTGCAATACTATTGCAATAGTTTTTTCTCGTCTTGAATTGTGTCATTTGAAGTCTTTTCTCAAATGAATGTATAGTTTATATGAAATACTAACACGTTGAAGTAGTCTCAGTCTCTTTTGATAACTGACAAGAAACTTGTTTGTTTAAGTGGTAACAGGTGTGGATACCTCTGAATCAAAGTGAATGAATCTGGTACTTCCTGTATTTTGTGCTGCGCATTTATCAACGGAAGTCAATTACTAAACTATCGATAGTCACACATACTATCGATGCATGGATAGTTTTTTCGTTTCTACCATGGATTACTTGCTATCGGAGACTCAATAATTGCAATCCATCGATAGTTTGATGCATCGTTACAGCACTGCTTATCACCACACATGCATTACTTCATTCTGAAACTGCTCCACTAGCTGTATGTTGATACCCCCAATGAACTGATACTGTTGAACAAAGGAAATGTTGGTGTTTGAAATATGGTCCAATGTGGCATAGTCAGCATCCTGATCGTCAGTCAAGACCAGTTTAAACCTGAATTTGCTGGCTCTTCTCTACCCAGGCTCAAGGAAGAGCATCTCATCACGTGCAGAACAACAGGAACGCTTCCTCCAAGAGCGCTATGAAGAGTTCAAGCAGGCTGCGCTCAAGGCAAAGCGGAACAATGAGATCGAGCTGGCAAAGAACTACATGAGGTGTATGCATGTGAGTACACACATAATCTATCTCTGAGGTGGTTCTGAGGTGACTCTGTAAACTCCCTGTGGTAGTTCTCCGGTGTTGTCCCCCCCTGTGGCAGTTATGAGGTGTCCACTGTGTTATCTCCCTTTGGTAGATCTTGTGTCTTGACTGTTATCTCTCAGTGGTAGTTATGAGGTGTCCACTGTGTTATCTCCCTTTCGTAGTTCTTGTGTCTTGACTATTATCTCTCAGTGGCAGTTATGAGGTGTCCACTGTGTTATCTCCCTGTGGTAGTTATGAGGTGTCCACTGTGTTATCTCCCTGTGGTAGTTCTGTATTATTCTCTGTTATCAATGTGTTTTCTGTAAATGAAAATAAGTGCTTTCAGTTAAAATGTAGTTTTTTCTAAAGTTGTTTACTGAGTTAATTCTGTTTGGTAGCTATTTGTCAAAGAACTTTTGATGTAAAACTATCTGTTCATTTCCACATTAAACAGTATTTCCTGTATAAAGTACTCCATATCCTCCAGATTGTAATCAGTTTTCAATAATCAATACATTTACGATGCCAGTTACCTGTGTGTTTGAGAACATACTATTACCTCTCTGTATACTGAACATCTGTTCCACAGGGGATGAAGCCCATGTTACAGGCAGCAGCAGCAGGCCTCCCTGTGGATCTGGCACAGGTAGGGACACGATGGAGTCTTGCAGAACAATATACTCAGGCTCCAACTACATTTTGTATCAAAACACTAAATAGAGATACATGACTACAGGCCAAATGGATTTTTTAAATAGTTTTCTTGCATGACTATGAGCATGAACAACACTGTCAATATGGGTTGACAACTTGATTTGCAAAGCTTTTATCATCTACCATTTTGTTATTTTAACACCATTTAGTTCAAGGTCATGAAACTATTGTACTTTGCTTGTTGAAAGACAGCATATTGACAATAATAATCACACACAGTTTAGTTGTTTTATCACTGTTCCAGTTGTCTCATTGAATCGGATAAACTGACAAGCCTCAGATAACATACCCAAATGGAAATATTTTTTCAATACAAATTTGCAGGTTCCTCCTTCCCCGATAGCAGACTTTGAGGAAGAGGACAAGTTTGTTGTTGTGGAGGCAGATGATTGCACACCGACAGGGGACAGGGAGGAGGTGTTCGAAACACTCAAGCAGGATCTCATCAGGCAGATCAGGGTCAGTTTGGTGTCCTCCCACTTTGCCACTTTCATTGTTAAGCAATTAATAGAAGTTAATAGTGCAACAAAGGGGATTAGTAGGAGATTAAAACTCACGTCAGTTCAACACTTTGACAATTTATTTCGTTTTACAAAATTTACAAAAATATATATGATTCATGTTAAAGTTACAGATATACAAAAATAAACAAATTGTACATATAAAATGTATAGTCAGGTAATGTTTCTTTAACATTTTTATCATTTTAAGAAGATGATTAGTGTTAAGTTACAGATAAATAAATGATACATATATGACTTATGATCATGTAATGTCATTTTAATCAAATACAAACACAATGCAAATATTTACAATCCCACTAAGTGGGTGAGAGCATAGAAAGTTGATAATTGAAGCAAATTGAAGCTGAACACTTATTGACTAAAATTGTTTTGCATGTGGTGAACACTGTTCATTGCTCATCACGCTCACAAACTGACAATAACCAGCCAGGCATGACCTTGCTAATTAGGGTGTTAATTATAATCTGATATTCGTAAACTGTGGTCAGATTAACTACTGGCAAAGTGGGAGTAAATCGTCAATTTGTGGCTAGATGGCTAGCTCTGTGTGATAACTAAATTGTTAGGCCTTAAATGTGTAGAGCTCCAGGGAGCAGAGAAGGTCGTCCAGCAAAAATGGTGTGATAGTAATACATATCCAGCTAGAATTGATGGTTCCTCATGTTTATAGTTAATGGTTTGCCTGGCCCAGACCCTGTTTCAAGTCAATGAGTGGCACTTATGTTGGCTCACAAGTCACATCTTTCTTAATCTGACCGATGATGAAAGTGCTACAATGAGTAAATTACAGTGATGAGATGTGCTTAAGGTATTGAGTAGCGTGCTGCTTTATGTCCTGTTGTTTGTTTCAGATATGTTCCACTAATTCCCAGCACTTCACCAAGTTGGGAGACGTGGCCTCCGCTGCTAAGTGAGTATGTCATGGCGTTGATGGTACTGTGTGTAGTACTGATGCCTTGTGGGTGAGGCAGTCGTAGGATATACATCTCAGTACACAGAGTACTGATCCTGGTACATGAGGCAGTCCTAGGATATACATCTCAGTACACAGAGTACTCATCCTGGTACATGGGGCAGTCCTAGAGTATACATCTCAGTACACAGAGTACTGATCCTGGTACATGAGGCAGTCCTAGGATATACATCTCAGTACACGGAGTACTCATCCTGGTACATGGGACAGTCCTAGAGTATACATCTCAGTACACAGAGTACTCATCCTGGTACATGAGGCAGTCCTAGGATATACATCTCAGTACACAGAGTACTGATCCTGGTACATGGTGCACACCTTGAATCATACATCTCAGTACACACAGTACTGATCCTGGTGCATGGTTCACACCTTGAATCATACATCTCAGTACACACAGTACTGATCCTGGTGCATGGTTCACACCTTGAATCATACATCTCAGTACACACAGCACTTATCCTGGTACATGGTTCACATCTTAAATTGTGAGATGTACACTAGGGACAGATGGTCCCTTTAAGTATTGTGATACTCGTGCATCACACACGTGACACGGTGAGCCAATCAGGTCTGAGTCTTGTTAGTGGGTCGTCTGTGTTACACCTTGAATTATACATCTCAGTACATACAGTGTTGATCCTGGTGTCTGTGTTACACCGTAAATTATACATCTCAGTACATACAGTGTTGATCCTGGTGTCTGTGTTACACCTTGAATTATACATCTCAGTACATACAGTGTTGATCCTGATGTCTGTGTTACACCTTGAATTATACATCTCTGTACATACAGTGTTGATCCTGGTGTCTGTGTTACACCTTAAATTATACATCCCAGTACATACAGTGTTGATCCTGGTGTCTCAGTGTTACATCCTGGTAAATTATACATCCCTTACATACAGTGTTGATCCTGGTGTCTGTGTTACACCTTAAATTATACATCTCAGTACATACAGTGTTGATCCTGGTGTCTGTGTTACACCTTGAATTATACATCTCAGTACATACAGTGTTCATCCTGGTGTCTGTGTTACACCTTGAATTATACATCTCAGTATATACAGTGTTGATCCTGGTGTCTGTGTTACACCTTGAATTATACATCTCAATACATACAGTGTTGATCCTGGTGTCTGTGTTACACCTTGAATTATACATCTCAGTACATACAGTGTTGATCCTGGTGTCTGTGTTACACCTTGAATTATACATCTCAGTACATACAGTGTTCATCCTGGTGTCTGTGTAACACCGTAAATTATACATCTCAGTACATACAGTGTTGATCCTGGTGTCTGTGTTACACCTTGAATTATACATCTCAGTACATACAGTGTTGATCCTGGTGTCTGTGTTACACCTTGAATTATACATCTCAGTACATACAGTGTTGATCCTGGTGTCTGTGTTACACCGTAAATTATACATCTCAGTACATACAGTGTTGATCCTGGTGTCTGTGTTACACCTTGAATTATACATCTCAGTACATACAGTGTTGATCCTGATGTCTGTGTTACACCTTGAATTATACATCTCAGTACATACAGTGTTGATCCTGGTGTCTGTGTTACACCTTGAATTATACATCTCAGTACATACAGTGTTGATCCTGGTGTCTGTGTTACACCTTGAATTATACATCTCAGTACATACAGTGTTGATCCTGGTGTCTGTGTTACACCTTGAATTATACATCTCAGTACATACAGTGTTGATCCTGGTGTCTGTGTTACACCTTGAATTATACATCTCTGTACATACAGTGTTGATCCTGGTGTCTGTGTTACACCTTGAATTATACATCTCAGTACATACAGTGTTGATCCTGGTGTCTGTGTTACACCTTGAATTATACATCTTACATACAGTGTTGATCCTGGTGTCTGTGTTATTATACATCTCAGTACATACAGTGTTGATCCTGGTGTCTGTGTTACACCTTGAATTATACATCTCAGTACATACAGTGTTGATCCTGGTGTCTGTGTTACACCTTGAATTATACATCTCAGTACATACAGTGTTGATCCTGGTGTCTGTGTTACACCTTGAATTATACATCTCAGTACATACAGTGTTGATCCTGGTGTCTGTGTTACACCTTGAATTATACATCTCAGTACATACACTGTTCATCCTGGTGTCTGTGTTACACCTTGAATTATACATCTCAGTACATACACTGTTCATCCTGGTGTCTGTGTTACACCTTGAATTATACATCCCAGCTCAGTACAGCTCCCAGAATATACTGGGCGGTGGGGTAGCCTAATGGTTAAAGCGTCAGCTCGATATGCTGAAGACCCGGGTTCGATTCCCCACATGGGTGCAATGTGTGAAGCCCATTTCTGGTGTCCCCCGCCGTGATATTGCTGGAATTTTGCTAAAAGCAGCGTAAAACCATACTCACTCACTGACTCACTCCAAGAATATACATCTGAGTATGTGCTTTACTATTCACTCATGTACATGAACTTATACCTGATCTCTTTAATTGTTCTCATTAGGTTTTGTTATTTCTGACAGATTTCAAAAGTTAGAACAAAACAGTCGCAAGGATCTGGATGCATTGAAGAATGCCAAGCTGCATGGAGACCCTGTGCCCAAGTTCCACTATGAAACCCGGAGCTTCTCAATTGTCAAGTAAGTGATCTCCGATCCTGCTCAGTCAGCCATTTTCCTGAGCTGAGATGTAATTTATGACTGACATTATGGTTACACTCTAAAAAACATATCTAATGTTTTTTGCAGCTGCTGTCAGAAACTCAAATAAACTTATACTGCTGTAGAATTCCTGGAATTATATCCTGCACATTACCAGGACATTGGTGTTTCCTCTCATATCAATTTTCTTACAGGCTCTTTCTTTAAAAAATATTTTTTCTTAGAATATGTCAAAATACCAAAAATTGTATGTTGAACTTTGCACTGTGAAGCAGGTTGTACTCCCACAGGGGAGTTTGCTAGGAAACTGTATGTTAGAGTCATTCTGTTTGTCCTCTAGCATGGATGTGGTTTTGAGCTTAAAACTCAACTCACTCACTGTCTGTTGTTGTCCTGATTTTAAGACATGCCTGCCAACCAGTGGGTCACATGCATGATAGTATCAAATTTTGTGAATTACTTTCAAAGGGTACATTCAGTAATTTGCCTAAAGAAGCTGGCCTTACAACAAAAGCAAATTGATGCCCATGTATTGCTGTGTCTGGAGAACTACCAGTATGTTTTAAGTATCGTTCTGCTTTACACAAAAAAAGGTGATGTTGTAATTAGGGTAACACCATTGCTGTTACAGATGCAACACAGACCTCGGCGACAATGACCTGGAGTTAGGCATTGTTAGAGCAATACAACTACCTATCCCCTCAGGTGGGTACATTTACTGAACAATATTTAACCCCACTTAAATATTCATGATCTGGAGTTCAGACCATCAAGTTCAACTGTATCATCAAGTTCCTGATGGAGAACTAGCAAAATCTTTAGCATCAATCTGAAACTCAAAGCTGCTATGATAATATTATCATAGATACATAGTTCTGAAAGTTTTATATGCTCCTAACTTTTATCATTGTTTTTTTCAGGTTATTCTGAAAAGGACTTAGATACTTATGTGAAATACGAGTTTCCTTTCCCTAATGTAAGTAAAATGGATGTTATTTTTGTCATATTTTTGGTATTTTTTGATAATAAGTTTTGAAAAAAGTTGATATCAATTAAAGAGTCAACTGATTAATTTTCCACTGTTTTGGGTAGAAGAGTAGATTTCTAAACAGTATGTACTTGTAAGCATAATTATTTTCTTTCAACTGTGATACCACAGTTCAGTCTGGAGTTTGACATTCACCTGATGTGTTATGTTTCCAGGACGACCCTCAGTCAGGACACACGGAGACACTGAAGGGTTTCGTAGATCCAGGTAACTGTCATGTGTACCATGTGGGAGGTCCATGCTTGTACTCATGCTTGTACTGTGAGCCACTCTCTGATGATTGGATAGTCACAGCATGACAACAGGCTCTGAGTTCTCATGTTTTTACTCATGTTTCACCTGAGTATTATCTTTTTAAGAAATCAGGGCCAGGTGAATGTGACACCCGACACCATTGATCGTTGCTCATGCTATATATACCACTGGTTTCTCTGGTCTAAACTTTAAGTAGTTACCATTTTTGTAATGATAACTGTATCTTAAAGCAGCATTCACTCTTGCACTTGCCTGTGAAGGCCTAACTTGATCAGTTCCATAATTTGCTGATACACAAGGAATTCAGCTGATGTGTAGTTTCCCATCACCAAGTGCCAGTAAGAGAGGCAGTCAGTTTGGCTTCCTGTGTAGATTTGCTACTCTTGACAAATATGTGAGAGAACTTGTGAGAGTTTATTTATTACCAATATCCTCTAACTCATAATTACAAAAACACTGTTTTAAGCTGGAGACCATCTTGAAATTGTTGTCCTTATTCACATTTAAATTGAAATAAATGCTCATCTATGGACCGCGTTGCGCGGTGGACTATGTATTCAGCAGCGTCCGTACGTACTGATTATTGTTAACGTGATATCTCATGGACTGTTGTACTCAATGTCTTCAATTTTGGTGACATCCTACATTGGGGGATTACACGTACACCAGTACATTTGGGTGACCTTGACCTTATTTTCAAGGTCACCAAGTCACCTTGAAGACTTTTCCAACTCTTGTTAACGCGATATTTCATGCACGGTTGTACTCAATGTCTTCAAATTTGGTGACAGCCTACATTGGGGAATTGCACTGCCAACAGTCAGTTTGGGTGACCTGGACCTTATTTTCAAAACTACATCACACAAAAAGTAATCTTCTATGTGACCAAAAGATATGTTATATTTCATTCTTGTTTAGTGGTGGGGGACATTGCCACTAACACTTGTTATAGTTCTAAATGAACAAAAAAAGTTACAGATATGAATGGAACTGGTCGAAGTGTATACCGAAATTGCAGTCAGTCACTGAACATGTTGTATTCTTTACAACTAATAAATATAAACTTCATGATTATGATAGTACATGTAAATAACAAAAGTCAACTTATAAAACGATTATGTAGATTGCAGGTTTATGGAATCAGTAATTGTGTGCCGTCTTTTCTCGAATAACAGAACACGTCTCTTGAAGCCAGCAGTAAGGCATCTATCAATAGTTGCCTCCTATTCCTAATATTTAAGTGGCACACCTAAGTAAAATCTTTTTTAAGCACACACATGCATGCACACACAATCACACATGCCTACAGTAATATAAACCAAGTATAAGCAGTACAGCAGTACACATTTACTAATACTATTTATGTATCTAAAAATGTATGTACATGATAATTATCTAACTCCTACAGAAATGGTAGTTTATAACTGTAGTATTTCAGTACACTAACAGTTACAGCTGTAAGTTTGGGGGTTTTTTTTGTTTGTTTTTTTTGTTTTAGTTTTTTGTTTTTTGGGTTGTTTTTTGTTTTTTTTGTTTTTTATAGCTGTAAGTTATAAACTATGTAAAGTACTAGTGAAAGCACTGTATGGGTGCGGTGGATGAGTGGGTTAGATTGCTGACTTTGTGTGCTGGCAGTTAGGTGCCTGACACTCAGAGAGTGGGTTCAAATCCTGAATGAGATTCAACCCCAAATAGTTCTAGAATCTGTGCTTTACACCACTTTCTAAATGACATTGTGTATTCATAACTATATGGTAGCTTAATGCAATAATTAAAGTATATTTGGCAACACCTACATGTATCATACCACATATTATACAAGTATTTCCAATGTTGCATATAGTGTGGATTATATTACAGATACACAACTATTATTATGAAAGCCTCGTTAACTGGACTGAACACAAGATGCTATCCTCCTCATGATATATATATACACACCATGGGCAGATCCAGTAATTTTGAAAGCAGGGAACCCCCTGAACCCCCCCATTGGCTCCGCCAACGCGAAAAAAAAGTCTTAAGTCATTTTCAGAAAGGGGGGGGGGGGTGAAACCCCTGAACCCCCCCTCAGGATCAGCCAATGCACACAAAGGAAATCTAAATGAACTTACCCAGTATGTGCAGTGCTGTGATAATCATGCAGATTTGAGATCCAGCAGTGACCACAGAAGAGATATGTTGAAGTATATAAGACTTGAGATCTGGCCACATGCTACAGAAACAATAGACACAATCACTGGCCAAGCCATGGCTGGACCAGGAGGCTGAAGACAAAGAGAACCCCATGTTATCTTACATAACTATGTTACCTAGAGATTGCTAAAGAGTTTGTAGAACTGTTACCTTACTTACCAAAATGTGTACCCAAGTTTATGATACATAAGTGTCAGTACACAAACTTCACATTCTGCTACACTTGTAACATGTAAAGATAGTGTTCAAGGGTATTGCTATCAGTTTTTAGCAAATACCAAGTATGAACACAATGATTGATGATGGAAACAATATCTTCTGTGAGAACCTGCTTTGAAAAATGAAATACTTGAAAATGATTCACTTATCTGCCTTGCAGTTTAAAACAGAACTCATTTTATTCAGTTTGTCTTGCTCTCCACTTTCAGAATACCAAGAAAATTTCAAAGTAAAAATTGATCGCAAGGCAAGGTCGTTTCATAGAGTTGTTGAGCGGAAGACAATCAAGTTAGAAGTTTACTACAAACGGTAAGTGTTGGAGTTCTTCACGGAAGAAAATCTTCACCAGAAATACATCCCCTGCTTTGTGACTACCTGAGAATTCTAACAAGCACTTGGACCTATGATTATCGTTAATGGTGACTGGAGTGGAAATATCAGGATAGAGCAGCTTCATCATATGTGGATAGGCAGTGGCCTGGTTGAGTCTGTGTATCACTGTACCACCGATGTTCTGCTTTGTACCTTCTGGCATGATCCACTGGTCTGCCATAATTTCCCTTGCTTGTGTTATTTGTGACAATTACTGGTATAAACAGTTCTGGTCTGATCTTAAGCCGTGTAAAGAAGGGGAGAGGGTGACTCGGAGTAACTATGTCCTGACCAGAATGTCTACTTTCAGTTTTATACACCTCAGCAGATATGTAGAGATGCATTGTGGATGTACAATTCCACATTGGTGGCCAAATGGACCAAGGTGTTGTACAGAGTTGTTTCTCTTGTCACACCAAGTCTGGCTGTTTGAATCTCTCAGTTTCCAAAATTGTGTTTCTTGGCTTGTCCGTCTACAGAATTTGAATTTTCTACCCATAACTAAACTTTTGTTTACAGCATTTTGAAGTTAAACTCACCAGCTTATGTTTTAATGTTTGCAGGGGTTTCTTCAAGGGAGATAAACACCTAGGAACAGTCAGCATTAAACTCCTCCCCCCTCGACCAGCACAGTACTGTGCATGACAGTTATGATGTAAGTACACAAAATTTAAATATCTATTACTAATTTTATGGGGAATTTGTTAAAAATGGTCCAGTGGTAGTCATATCTAAGTTTGTCAATATTTTTGACAAGTAGGGACATGTGGCTAGATTTGGAAGAAACTTCAATTCCTTTCACATATCCTTTAAATAATCTGGACAAATACTGAAGCTATGTCTAAATTGGATTCATTCTTTATTATCATTGAACATTAAATCTTGATTTCAGGGATTTTTAACACACTGTTTAACTGAACCTCACTGCTTTTTTATCCCAATTCCCATATTACCTGGAAGTCACTTCCCTGTTGGTCCCCAGCATCTGATTTGGTCATAACTTGTCATTTACTGGACTGTGTGGTCAGTCTCTGTAAGGGGTCATTGCATGTCTTCATGCCTGACAACATAGATCATTGGTCATAATAACAAACCACTGGGTTCTCTGGTCCAGACTTGATTCATATAGCTGGAGTAATGAAGACAGTGGCTGTTCAACAAGTGAGTGAGTTTAGTTTTATGCTGCTTTTAGCAATAGTCCAGCAATACCATGCCGGGGGACACCAGAAATGGCTTCACACAATGTACCCATGTGGGGAATCGAACCCGGGTCTTCGGCGTGACAAGCTAACACTTTAACCATTATGCTATCCCACCGCCCCCCTCTTTAAGAAAGGGACAAAACAGCTAGTATTGAGCAAATCATATATGACCTGGTTGTACTGGTGTATCCGGCACTCTAGGTATTGCCATCAACCTATTATTGAGTCAGTTAATATGTGAGTAATTCTTCTTTGTCCTCCAACAGTTAATGGATGGCCGGAAGACTGTTGGTGGAAAGCTGGAAGTGAAAATACGAATCCGTGACCCATTCAAGAACAAAGAGGTGGAGACTGTTAAAGAAAAGTGGCTTGTCATTGACCAGTTCCTTCGGACATTGAAATCAGGGGTAAGTGGCATTGTTTATACCAGAGTGCATGCCTGTCTTGGTGGTCTGATGCAGCACAATCCAGACACAAGAGTTCAGTCCCTTTGCTGTGTGAGGAGCAGCTGATGAATGGATGGGAATATGATCCTTGGTTTGTCATCAGTGTCATCACATTGATGAAGCAGCAGTACTGGTTGTCGTTGTATCATACTTGAAGTAGCCAGAGTTAGTGTCAGGAGCCAGAGTGACACTAAGTAGCCAGGGTTAATTAGTGTAAGGAGCCAGGGTTAGTGTAAGGAGCCAGAGTAACAATAAGTAGCCAGAGTTAGTGTAAGGAGCCAGACTGACAATAAGTAGCTAGAATGATAATAAGTAGCCAGAGTTAGTGTAAGGAGCCAGAATTAGAGTAAGTAGCTGGAATTATTGTAAGTAGCCAGAATATTTGTAAGGGGCCAGAGTTATTGTGAGTAGCCAAAGTTATTGTAAGTAGCCAGAGTCACAGTAAGTAGCCAAAGTTACAGTAAGTAGCCAGAGTTATTGTAAGTAGTCAGCGTTACAGTAAGTAGCCAAAGTTACAGTAAGTAGCCAAAGTTATTGTAAGTAGCCAGAGTGAGTTGCCAGTAATACATTTGCATATATTTAATCTTCCTTTAAATCAAATGGTGGACAAAACTTTCTTCAAATTGCTTCCATTTATTGTCACAGTATGGCTGAAATGTTGGTGATGTGTTAGGTTAAGCTTGCACACTGAATGGTTCCATTTCACTGGTGTATGTTTATGGTTGATAACAATGGTTTAATTTCAAACTACATAATTTTTACCATGTGACCAGGTATTATCAATGTTTTTCTGTGTCTTTTTCACAGGCTGCCAAAAATGTAAGTAATATTATCTCTTAGCTCTCATATAATTCTCTGTTTCCTCTGTCTCCAGTAACATCTGAAACAGTCCAACCATTTGTAACATTTATAGATCCATCCTAGGACTTGAAGACACAAGCTTTGGCCATGACTGTCTCATGATGACTCATCTCTTGTGATTTCCATTGTGAAAAATATTTAATTTATTTGTGTAGAAAAAATAGTGAAACAGAATGGTGCATGAGTAGATATCTTTTTAAGCATCACTTGATTGACTGACACAAAGAAGTAGACATGCTCAACACAAATGACTTGATTCCAGTTTATATATTCTAACAGCGATGCAACACTAGTTCACATAAAAATCATCACCACATGTTGAAAACATATCTTCTTGTACCTTTCCGACACTTGTAACATATTACCACCATGTAAAAGCACAATTCATTTATTTTATTATTTTTACCCACAGCCTCCAATTCAGAGACAAAAGAGGTGAGTTTTTAGAATTGTTCGGAAATGTAATTTTTAGAATATTCTTCTTCTTTCTTGATGTCTCTCATCCTTGTTTAATACACACTTTATCTATCCATGCATCTCGCCACTGATACTCACCTTACTCCTATAGAGTTACATTTCCCAACATTCCCAACATCCCCAACATACCAGTCCAGTGTATCAGCTGTTGGTGATTGGCACAGTGTTCCTTGAATTGGATAAGCCATCTTTGTTGACATGGCAGTCAGGTGATACGTCTTGAGATTTAAGTGTGCTGCTTTCCGAACCTGAAACAGAGATGTACACCCCTCGTTTCAGACACCTAGCAGGTCTTCTTAATATATCTTCACATAATAAATTCACAAGATTTGAGTGTAATGAGAATGCCCCTTTTTTTTCTGCCAGCTTTTAACAAGATATGGGAATAGTAAATAGGATACCATTTTCCAGACACCTAACATGCCAGCTTATCGTGATATTGTTCTCGTGATTTGGGAACAGTGTTTGTTTATTTGTTTGTTTGTTTGTTTGTTGTTTGAATAACAGACACACTCAGCAGTATTCCATCTGTGAATAATCGAGTCTGGACCAGACAATCCAGTGATCAGCATCATGAATATTGATCTGCACAATTCTGATACGATGATGTGTCAAGCCTGACCACCCAATCCCCTTTGTCCCCTCTTACGACAAGCATGGGTTACTGCAGACCAATTCTAACCTGGATCTTCATGAGTCGATAAATGATGAGGACACTGGCAATTTGCTGATAAGTATCAGTAACAGTAGAACAGCCTGACAGCTGGATTGTGCTCCTCCCATCTTCCTTCCTTACATTATGACTTGCTGACAGTATGGATGCACAACTTGTTCTCAATCACAGATGACACCAGAAATTGAATCCAATAGGGAATTGCACCCAGTCTTCAGTGTGACAATCAAACATATCATTTAAGCCAGATACACATATGAATGATGATGTAGCCAAGGGATCAACAAGAGTTGTTTTGTAATCATTGTCTGGTTTCGATTCCCATCACATATTCTGTTTTTAAAGCCTTTTCTTGCCTTGAAGTTTCAGAATATTGGTCAAAGCAGACTGAATACTTAGACTTTATCATGACTCTTTCCTCGAAGTACTGGGCCGGTGGGGTAGTGGGGTAGTCACGCCGAAGACCCGGGTTCGAATCCCCACATGGGTACAATGAGTGAAGCCCATTTCTGGTGTCCTCCGCCATGATGTTGCTGGAATATTGCTAAAAGCAGCGTAAAACCAAACTCAGTCAGTCAGTCAGTCCTCGAAGTACTAGGTTGGACCTGTGACCCAGTTTCATAAGGCACTACAATTTACTGGAAAGGCTTGTATCATTGGGTTTCGCTGAAGTGTGATCGGGGGTTCAATTCCAAGGTTTGCCCTGATCGTGTTATTCTGTCAGTACCATTCCTCTATCATGAAAGGCCGTCTTCTGTATCTAGCTGAGTCGATGTGATATTAGTACATAGTACCTGCTTCTGTGAGCTGTTCCTTTCTTCCGTATTTCCAGCACATGTTTGTGTTTTGTGAAATTCCTCCTCTGTGTCAGTGAGTGAAAATATGTTTTCAAGCTTTTATATCCTGTCACTGACAATGTTACATTCATAGTTATTTTTCTAAAAGAAATGTCAGCATACAACTTCTTATGATAAATAACACAACACACAAAATATGCCAGTGTCTCACAAATCATTTAACTACTTGGTGTTTGCTAGTTATTCTTTAACCATGGCTGTGTAAACAGACAAGAAGAAGTCATTATTCATTGAATTTAAGTTTGAAAGATGGCATTAATTGTGTAAGAATGGTTATATACGAAATTAGTTACCATAATTGTTAACTGTGATTGTTTATAACAGGGCATTCTGTTTTTAAAATCTTTTTTTTTTGTTAGTTAGAATTCAGTACTAAAAACACAAATGCTTCCAGTAAACTTTCTATGAAGAATTTTGTGTTCATTTGTATTTCTTCTTCAGAAACCAACATGCTATAATCTTGTTACTTAAAGTGATCCGTTAGAAGTTTCCTGCTATAGTAATTCTCTAGCTACTTGTAACTCACAACCTGTAACTAGTATTTCTTTTCTCGGCAGAAATGAAAAGTCCAGTATCTGCATATTGTCATAACGGAGGAGGGATTTCACAAGCTGCAGCGCGCTTTCTTCAAAACAGTCTAACCTGAATTATCTGTGATGTTTTAACTGTGTTAAGTCTTGTCATTTTGTGACGGCTTCTTTGTTATATTGGTCTGTGATGTTGACTGTTTCTCATCCATTGCAAGTATTAAAATACACATTCATCTAAACCCTACACTTACATAAGTAAAGACTTATCCGTCCAAATTCATATTCTGTTACACGTTTTGTGGGCATTTTACAGATTCTCATGATCTTTTACTTCTGTTGGCCTTATTGGTATTGTTTTATTGATATTATTCATTTTATCTGTTGCTGAATTGTTACATTAACATTTGCTTACAGAACAATGACTGATCCTCCACAATAAGATGACTCACTTGTAATGTAGTGTTTAACTCAAATACTGTTTGAAGCGACTAGTGTTTAACTCAAATACTGTTTGAAGCGACTATGAACCAAATGCTCTTTCTATCCATGAAGATTCGGGTTGGAATTGATCTTCAGTAACCCATGCTTGTCGTAAGAGGCGACTAACTGGATCAGGTGTCATGCTCTCTCTGACTGGGTTGACACATGTCATCATACCCCATGTGAGTAGATCGATGCTCATGCTGTTGATCACTGGATTGACTGTTTGGTCCTGACTTGATTATTTACAGATCGCTACCATATAGCTGGAATATTGCTGAGTGTGGGGTTTAACTAAACTCACTCACTCACTCTCCAGATGCTCTCAAAGCATCCAGTAGTAACAGCGAAAAACCTGTATCATGATTATATGATACCAGGGTATTGCAGTGAAGGATATGTATGCAAATCCACTGCATGCTGTTAACATTAAAACCAGATCTGTGAATCTCTGTAGGTGATGTCATCTTCTAAGTTCTTGGTAGGATTGACCAAGTCATTCCAGGCAGCATATTTGTTTTCACTATTTGAATTTTTTTACATCAAACACGTGAAAACATGTATCTGAATGGAAATAACAGATATTGTACTATGATTATGATGTTTTGCATATCTTAAGCACAAGATTGTTTCTGATAGCCATCTACACAGAACAGATGTATTAATGATGAAATATTTCTGTTCTCTCACACTTTCGACATGAGATGCAACCTTCTTTGTAGGTCTTGTCAGATCTTTACACAGAGTGGTATTGTTTCACAGTACAAGATCTGATTTTAATATTCTTCGTTCAGAAACACAGAGAATGTACGGTAATTTTATATTATGTTTCATTTTTAGGAATAGACCTTGTGTTGAGCTTGTAGGGTATGTAAACAGCTGATAATTACACCTGTGTAGTCCGAGCAAACGCTCAAGTAAGTGGTCTGAACTCAGGAACATATTTGTTCTACACATAAAACAAAACACTTTATTGTGAAGAACAACTTAATGAAGTGTCTGTATAATACTGCTCAGATTGCCATTGTCTGTGATATTGTAACCATTGTGGTCCTATGGCTATGTGCTTTAATTCTAAGAAAACCAGTATTCTTATACTGGGGACGAGTCATTTGTGGGCTAAATGCAGCTCCAGAGTATATATTTTTGTATTATTTTTATCGTATTGTATTGTGTTTGTTAGAATATCATTTCAGTGTTAGGAAGGAAATGAGAGTAGGTATACCCATAAACATTTGGGTTAGAATTGTTCTTCAGTTACCCATGCTTGTCGTAAGAGGCGACTAACAGGATCGGTTAGTCAGGCTCGCTGACGTGGTTGGCACTTGTCATATTACCCCAATTGCGTAGATCAATGCTCATGCTGTTGATCACAGGATTGTCTGGTCCAGACTCAAATATTTACAGACCGCTGCCATATAGCTGGAGTATCGCTGAGTGCGGCGTAGAACTAAACTCACTCACTCACTCATTAGAGAGGGCAAATATACTGATGTACAAAAGAAAGCACACACCTGGTGCTTTGGAATTATTTAAAAACAACAACAATGACATTGTTGTGAATATTTTGAAAAGTGTTTTGATTGTGACTTAAGCGTACATGTTGCCAAAACAACACAGATATAGTACCCCAAAGCAATGTTGTCAACACTTCACGTTCCTTGCTCCACATGGACCGCCTCCGTGGTGTAGTGGTAAGAGTGTCCACCCGGAGAGCGGAAGGTCGCGGGTTCGATCCCTGGCCGCGTCATACACAAAAACCGTTAAAATATGGTACTTGTTGGTCCCTGCCTGGCGCTCGGCATTAATGGGTACAAGCAAGGACTGGTCGGCTCGGAGTCAGTATAATGTGTCTTAGTGGGGTATTCATGCTTCACTGCGCGCATGGTATCTCAGTGGGCTAGCACTATAAAACCAGCTTAAGTCTGGGCTAGTACAAGCAGCCACACATACACAAACACACACAAGCACGTCGTCATATGAGCGAAATATTCTCAAGCATGACGTTAAACCCAATTTCACCTCACCTCACCTCACCTCACCTCACCTTACCTTACCTTACCTTACCTCACCTTGCTCCACGTACGCGATTCAGTCAGTGTTGACAGATTCATGACATGGTCTGAACTGGTCAATGGGCCCGGATGCCCACAAGATGCAGTTGTCTCATTGCCATGTTCCTGCTGATACGGTGACCCAGCACTGTTGATGTTGATGACCTCACTGTGAGCATCCAGTTTCGCAGATGAAGAATGCGCAGGTTATGGTCATCTTGTGAGGTGATCACTCTCGGTCTTCCAGTTCTAGGACTGTCAGATGCCTGGCCAGTCTGGTTGACGCGTCTCATTAGTCTGTTGATTATCTGCCCTATACAGTGGAATGTTCTGGATATATGGAGGTTCAAAGCCCCCATCTGTGACATTCCAAAGCCTTTCTCGCACCACTGCTGATAATCTTGGCATTTTGATGTGTGGCGTTAACAGATGTACCACTAAACATTCTCAACTGACTGTGTTTCATACTGTTGGCTCATGACATGCTCATGTGATCAACATTTTCATGATATTCCACTCACTGTAAGGATATATGTGGACTTTGGGCAACATGTACACAATGTTTGTGTAGTGAAAGCTACAATCAAACACTTTTCAAGATATTTATTGGGTTTTTTTAAAAAGAAATAATCTCCAAACACAAGACATTTACTTTCTTTTATACATAATCAGTAAAATGAACGCCTTATATCAGTAACCTTGGTCCCAGTTCAAATCAGTAAAATGAACACCTCATCAGTAACCTTGGGGCCAGTTCAAATCAGTAAAATGAACACCTCATCAGTAACCTTGGTCCGCCCTTCTTTCAAAGTTCAAATCAGTAAAATGAACACCTCATCAGTAACCTTGGTCCCAGTTCAAATCAGTAAAATGAACACCTCATCAGTAACCTTGGTCCGAGTTCAAATCAGTAAAATGAACACCTCATCAGTAACCTTGGGGCCAGTTCAAATCAGTAAAATGAACACCTCATCAGTAACCTTGGTCCGAGTTCAAATCAGTAAAATGAACACCTCATCAGTAACCTTGGTCCCAGTTCAAATCAGTAAAATGAACACCTCATCAGTAACCTTGGGGCCAGTTGAAATCAGTAAAATGAACACCTCATCAGTAACCTTGGGGCCAGTTGAAATCAGTAAAATGAACACCTCATCAGTAACCTTGGTCCCAGTTCAAATCAGTAAAATGAACACCTCATCAGTAACCTTGGGGCCAGTTGAAATCAGTAAAATGAACACCTCATCAGTAACCTTGGGGCCAGTTGAAATCAGTAAAATGAACACCTCATCAGTAACCTTGGGGCCAGTTGAAATCAGTAAAATGAACACCTCATCAGTAACCTTGGGGCCAGTTGAAATCAGTAAAATGAACACCTCATCAGTAACCTTGGGGCCAGTTGAAATCAGTAAAATGAACACCTCATCAGTAACCTTGGGACCAGTTGAAATCAGTAAAATGAACACCTCATCAGTAACCTTGGGGCCAGTTGAAATCAGTAAAATGAACACCTCATCAGTAACCTTGGTCCCAGTTCAAATCTACCTGTGAAGATCCGGGTTAGAATGAACCTTCAGTAACCCTTGGTTGTCGTAAGAGGTGATTAATGGGATCGGGTGGTCAGGCTCGCTGGCTTTTAGCTGGAATATTGCTGAGTGCGGCGTAAAACTAAACTCATTCACTCACCCCAGTTCAAATCAGTAAAATGAACACCTTATCAGTAATCTTGGTCCCAGTTCAAATCAGTAAATTACACTAACATGCTTGAGATGGGATCAGGTGGAATCTACATAGAATTTGGATGGTACCATTCACTTGTGCCACATGATATGAATCTGAGCAGCTTCTTATGACAAATTGTATTGATTAATATTGGCCTTAGATATGCCACTCTGATGTGGTACAGGCAGTTTTTTACTTTGTCATGTAACATTTGTTGTTCAATCCTTGAGATCATCTGTGGGTTGTGTTAAACACAATACATGATTTAGGTAAATAAGTCAGCTTTTGTTTTCCTTGGCCAAAGTCAACATAAAAATCTCTTGCACATTTTACTCCAGATTACTAGATCAGGAACAAAACATTCTCATTTGTGTCCTTCTAGTCAGGATATTGGATTTTGAAAACCATCCTGGTCAATTAACGCCCTGCTTCTATTCAAATTGGAATAATTGTACAAGCAGCCATAAATCTAGGCTGAACCATACTGACTTTAAAGTGTAGTGCACGACTTTGTTTTTAACTGCTGATATTGAGATACCTTTGTCCAATCATAAAGCTATGAAATTACAAATGTATTGCTGAAATGTTGCTGACTGCTGCATAAAATGTCCCTTATTCCTCACTTCCTGACTTATATAGCCAATTGTGTGAGTGGAGAAGCCTTTGTCAGGGGAGAGAACTCATGCACTGATTTAACCACTCTCAGAGATATCTTCTATGGAATATTTAACACAGAAAACCACTATCATTTCAATCAGATGTTAATCTCTTTAGCAGTATTGTAAACAGAGTTGGATTGATTTGGCAAATACCTTTTCAGTGTGACATTCACAACAAGAATGAAGTGTGACAGGACAAAGGGTTTATTTGAAATTGGGTTGACATTTGCTACCTTTCTGACTGTGACAAATATATGTCTGTCAGCATTACACCAACATTCTTGCACTCTCCAGGCATATATAGCCTTGTGCCCCATCTTGTTGCACTCCTGATGTATGTCAGCACTGGGACAGTCTTACGCGCTGACATTATTATTTTACCCATGAAGATCTTGGTTAGAATTGGTTTCCAGCAACCCATGCTTGTCGTCAGAGGCGACTAACAGGATCGGGTGGTCAGACTTGCTGACTTGGTTGACACATGTCATCGTATCCCAATTGCATAGATCGATGTTCATGCTGTTGATCACTGGATTGTCTGGTCCAGACTCAATTATTTACAGTCTGCAGCCATATAGCTGGATTATAGCTGAGTACGGCGTAAAACTAAACTCACTCTCTCACTACGGTATTGTTAACGTCAGCTGTAGAACTCAGCTTACTTACTCACTGTAAGTGACCGCCTCCGTGGTGTAGTGGTTAGAGCGTCCGCCCGAGAGAGCGGAAGGTCGCGGGTTCGATCCCCGACCGCGTCATACCAAAAGACGTTAAAATATGGTACTTGTTGGTCCTTGTCTGGCGCTCGGCATTAATGGGTACATCAAGGACTGGTCGGCTCGGAGTCAGTATAAAGTGTCTCTAAGTGGGGTATTCATGCTTCACTGCGGCATGGTATCTCAGTGGGCTAGCACTATAAAACCAGCTTCAGTCTGAGCTAGTACAAGCAGCCGCAGATACACATACACACGCATGCACGTCGCCATATGAGCGAAATACTCTCAAGCACGACGTTAAACCCAATTTCACCTCACCTCACCTCACCTCACTGTATGTGGAAGGCTCTTTGAAATCGGGTTGATGAACTGACCATATGGATGGATGTTTATCTTTTCAGTTAGCAAATTAATGAATTGAATCTTTATCATTATGATCATTTAAAGTGTTGCTCAAGCACACTTCACATCCTGGACACTGTGGGTATTCCATGTGAGAACCAAAGTACCAGGAGATGTACTTGCTGTGAGAGCATGATGGCATATGTTATTGTTGATACTATCAGAAATAGGCTGCTGACCTATAGCTTTATGTAAAGGTAGCTGTGATGTAGCTGGTACATTGCTGGCTTTGGCATTAAATACCAACCATAATATAAAATATTCATCGATATTGTGAAATTCAGGTTAACTAAGGCAGAAAAAAAAGGGAGAAAAGTGGAAAGAAATTGTATTGTTTTGTAAAGGAACCCTTCATATAGGTATATTATTCATTGGGCACAGGCGGTTGGGTAGCCTAGTGGAACCCTTCATATAGGTATATTATTCATTGGGCACAGGCGGTGGGGTAGCCTAGTGGAACCCTTCATATAGGTATATTATTCATTGGGCACAGGTGGTAGGGTAGCCTAGTGGTCACGCTGAAGACCCGGGTTCGATTCCCCACATGGGTACAATGTGTGAAGCCCATTTCTGGTGTCCCCTGCCGTGATGTTGCTGGAATATTGCTAAAAGCAGCGTAAAACCAAACTCAGTCAGTCAGTCAGTCATTGGGCAGGGGTTTCTCTGCAGTTGTTTTCAGCCATTGGGCATTAAAAGTGCAGAGAAAATCTGTGCATTTAAGAGAATGTTGAAAACATTCTTTTTCAAATCATGTTACAGTTCCGAGTGACTCTTTCCTTGTCAGACTCATACGAAAGCGCCTTTGAGCAGGACTCATCTGGATATTGGTGCTATATGAATCTCTATATATTATTATTATTATTATTATTTTCACTGAGCATTTCTATTTCTTTTTTATACTCATTGGCTACATTGTTCAGTAGTTTGCACATGACATGTCATGAACATATTCTGGCATGTTGTTGAAGATGACTCCGCCCATTGTTTGCGCTGTCACAGATGGTTCCATGTGACATTACTAACGCAAATATCAAACTGGTGTTACTACTTGCGACTAGGAAACTCTTTATATTCTCCCAGAGGACTATGGGTGATGTTCAGAATAGCCCTTAACATTGAAATACAGATCATCTGTAAGTTGTCATGCCTCATTGGATATTCTGTAAATACTGTCTCACATTTAGAAGTTGTTTATATGAAGACATGCAGTGTGAGGACAAGACCGAAGTGTTCTCAGAAATGTCATATTGACTGTCATGTTCAGGATTTGAGTTCCAACAGATTTAATCAGAAACATGTTAAACACTGTAAACAATATATATGGGTGCACTTGCAGAACCTCTAAGCACTAAGGTTTATTTGTGATGAACATGAAAACTGTTTGAATAATGTATTTAGTTCATTTGGGTGCAGGTTATGCTTAGAACTTGTTAGCTGTCTTTCCTCAGCAATGATTTGCAAATATGTTTCATACAGATACAGGACCTGTGTAGAATATAGTCTTAGTTATGATACATGCAGGTCTGTTGGCTCTTACGCCAAGCATAGGACAGGGTTGCTTTATTTTGATAAACTGTAGCAAATCCTTTTTTATGAAACTGATAAGGAGATGCTGAGATAGGGCAGTAATAAAATATTTTCAACAGGGCAATAATAAATGAAAAACAGGTGATGATAAACACACAGAATGAAAGATTGATTCCCACCTACGATGTCCTGTCTTCTAGGAGTGGCAGGGCCATCTAGTGGGTATACACTTGGGTTCCTCTCCCATCGTACTGTGTGAATTGAGCTTGTGCTCCTGTGGAGCAGTGGGGTAGCCTAGTGGTTCAAGAGTTCGCTCATCATGCCCATTTCTGGTGTCCCTGCCCCGATATTGCTGAAATATTGCTGAAAGGGGCGTAAAACTAAATTCACTCGCTCTTGTGCTCCTGTCATCATGATAGCTCTGTGTAAAACAGGATTCTTTGTTGCAGTATCATTTCAGTTTAACAAGCAGGTGCTTGTATATTTTGATTTTGAACATGTTAAGCAGAGATACTAGCTTTACAATATGGTGGTCTTTGTCCAACAGGTTTGTCTCAAACTGTTTTGTGAAACTTTGTGAAATTGTTTGTTGTGATCTGTATTTTTTATGTATGTGAACTGAAGCCTTCTGAAGCCTCAGTTTATGTGAACTGAAGCCTCAGTTTATGTGAACTGAAGCCTCAGTTTATGTGAACTGAAGCCTCAGTTTATGTGATCTGAAGCCTCAGTTTATGTGATCTGAAGCCTCAGTTTATGTGAACTGAAACCTCAGTTTATGTGATCTGAAGCCTCAGTTTATGTGATCTGAAACCTCAGTTTATGTGATCTGAAGCCTCAGTTTATGTGATCTGAAGCCTCAGTTTATGTGAACTGAAACCTCTGTTTATGTGATCTGAAGCCTCAGTTTATGTGATCTGAAGCCTAAGTTTATGTGATCTGAAGCCTCAGTTTATGTGAACAGAAGCCTCTGTTTGTGTGAACAGAAGCCTCAGTTTGTGTGATCTGAAGCCTCAGTTTATGTGATCTGAAGCCTCAGTTTATGTGATCTGAAGCCTCAGTTTATGTGATCTGAAGCCTCAGTTTATGTGAACTGAAACCTCTGTTTATGTGATCTGAAGCCTCAGTTTATGTGATCTGAAGCCTAAGTTTATGTGATCTGAAGCCTCAGTTTATGTGAACAGAAGCCTCAGTTTATGTGATCTGAAACCTCAGTTTATGTGAACTGAAGCCTCAGTTTATGTGATCTGAAGCCTCAGTTTATGTGAACTGAAGCCTCTGTTTATGTGATCTGAAGCCTCAGTTAATGTGATTTGAAGCCTCAGTTTATGTGATCTGAAACCTCAGTTTGTGTGAACTGAAGCCTCAGTTTATGTGATCTGAAACCTCAGTTTATGTGAACTGAAGCCTCTGTTTATGTGATCTGAAGCCTCAGTTTATGTGATCTGAAACCTCAGTTTATGTGAACTGAAGCCTTTGTTTATGTGATCTGAAGCCTCAGTTTATGTGATCTGAAGCCTCAGTTTATGTGATCTGAAACCTCAGTTTGTGTGAACTGAAGCCTCAGTTTATGTGATCTGAAGCCTCAGTTTATGTGATCTGAAACCTCAGTTTGTGTGATCTGAAGCCTCAGTTTATGTGATTTGAAGCCTCAGTTTATGTGATCTGAAACCTCAGTTTGTGTGAACTGAAGCCTCAGTTTATGTGATCTGAAGCCTCAGTTTATGTGATTTGAAGCCTCAGTTTATGTGATCTGAAACCTCAGTTTATGTGAACTGAAGCCTCAGTTTATGTGAACTGAAGCCTCAGTTTATGTGATCTGAAACCTCAGTTTGTGTGAACTGAAGCCTCTGTTTGTGTGATCTGAAGCCTCTGTTTGTGTGATCTGAAGCCTCAGTTTATGTGATCTGAAGCCTCAGTTTATGTGATCTGAAGCCTCAGTTTATGTGATCTGAAGCCTCAGTTTATGTGATCTGAAGCCTCTGTTTATGTGATCTGAAGCCTCTGTTTATGTGATCTGAAACCTCTGAAGCCTCTGTTTGTGTGATCTGAAGCCTCTGTTTGTGTGATCTGAAGCCTCAGTTTATGTGATTTGAAGCCTCAGTTTATGTGATCTGAAGCCTCAGTTTATGTGAACTTAAGCCATTTTGCTTATTAGAATGGTACAATTGTTGGATATTTCATGATGTTAAGTATAAATAAAGACTTGAACTATGCATTGAATTCTGTGAACTTCTTTGTCTCTGCATGCAAGGGACCTGTTTCTTCCATCAGGTCCCCAAGGTTGTAGGCACTGTAGAAGTGAGTTTCATGGTCATCTCTCATTGTCCTTGATCAAAAGATTTTGTGTACATTTGTTCAAAGCATCACAACTAATTCCTTTGAATATCCTCCCTCTATTACATCATAGCCATAAATTCCATTTTGGGCAGGCAATCAAATCGGACATTTCAACAGGCATCCCCTTTACAGCCAACATTGTTGTGTGAATAACACTTTCTTTCTCAAGAAATATATAAGCGCATATCCAATCTAGGAAAATTTCACTTCTTTCAACCAAAACCCGTCCCCTGAATGCAGATATCTACCGCATATTTTAAAGCAATAATGGAAGAATTATCCAAAATCTAAACACTCCCACCAGATCCCTTCTCTCCCTCACAGGGGCGGTGGGATAACCTAGTGGTCAAAGCACTCATTCGTCACACCGAAGACCTGGGTTCGATTCCTTACATGGGTACAATTTGAAGCCCATTTCTGGTGTCCCTCGCCGTGATATTGCTGGAATATTGCTAAAAGCGGCGTAAAATTAAACTCAATCACTCACTATCCCTCACATGGTATTGTCCCTAGGAACTTCAGGACAGTAAAATGATGTGTCAGTAGTGAGATGCATGGTCTTGAAAATAACTTTTTCTTTTCTGATGTGCATGGTCTGATTATTTGTGATCCAAAGATTATGTAACCTGCTTCGGCAAGTTAGTTCTTCATTGATGATGTAGACAACTAAAGTGTTCAGCAAGTTGTCCAACTAAACTGGCTATAAAAGGATGGATACAGTACTGTACCTGACAATACAGAGACAGGTCAACAGGGGTGGGTTTGAATAATTTACCAACAACTTGTAAACTGAAGGACTTTTTAATGCATGTGATGATAGTTAGCATGCTGTGTTTGTAAGCATAAATAGACTATCCAAGCAGTTGACTTAATTGATATTTATTTTATGTATGGAAACATGTCATGCTAAGTTGAAGATTGTGTTACAGTGTTGGCGGAGTGGCCTGTATGGAGGTGTTGCGGTTTGAGAGACAACAGCTAGATAAACAGGTTGGTGACAACGTCCAAGTTGTATTGTTCTTTCATTTGTTAAACAAGTATAATGCATGATAATTTGGGGATATGGTGGATCTTATACAGAGCTCTTGGTCAGGCTTCCTTATTGAGACTGTTATATTTCTGTGTAGTCTGCTCCTGTATTTGAGACAGTGTTACATTTCTGTGTGGTCTGCTCCTGTATGTGAGACAGTGTTACATTTCTGTGTGGTCTGCTCCTGTATGTGAGACAGTGTTACATTTCTGTGTGGTCTGCTCCTGTATGTGAGACAGTGTTACATTTCTGTGTGGTCTGCTCCTGTATGTGAGACATTGTTACATTTCTGTGTGGAATGCTCCTGTATGTGAGACAGTGTTACATTTCTGTGTAGCTTGCTCCTGTATGTGAGACAGTGTTACATTTCTGTGTGGTCTGCTCCTGTATGTGAGACATTGTTACATTTCTGTGTGGAATGCTCCTGTATGTGAGACAGTGTTACATTTCTGTGTGGTCTGCTCCTGTATGTGAGACAGTGTTACATTTCTGTGTGGAATGCTCCTGTATGTGAGACAGTGTTACATTTCTGTGTGGAATGCTCCTGTATGTGAGACAGTGTTACATTTCTGTGTGGAATGCTCCTGTATGTGAGACAGTGTTACATTTCTGTGTGGTCTGCTCCTGTATGTGAGACAGTGTTACATTTCTGTGTGGAATGCTCCTGTATGTGAGACAGTGTTACATTTCTGTGTGGAATTGTATGTGAGACAGTGTGTGGTCTGCTCCCTGTATGTGAGACAGTGTTACATTTCTGTGTGGTCTGCTCCTGTATGTGAGACAGTGTTACATTTCTGTGTGGTCTGCTCCTGTATGTGAGACAGTGTTACATTTCTGTGTGGAATGCTCCTGTATGTGAGACAGTGTTACATTTCTGTGTTGTCTGCTCCTGTATGTGAGACAGTGTTACATTTCTGTGTGGTCTGCTCCTGTATGTGAGACAGTGTTACATTTCTGTGTGGGTCTGCTCCTGTATGTGAGACAGTGTTACATTTCTGTGTGGAATGCTCCTGTATGTGAGACAGTGTTACATTTCTGTGTGGTCTGCTCCTGTATGTGAGACAGTGTTACATTTCTGTGTGGTCTGCTCCTGTAGGTGAGACAGTGTTACATTTCTGTATGGTCTGCTCCTGTATGTGAGACAGTGTTACATTTCTGTGTGGAATGCTCCTGTATGTGAGACATTGTTACATTTCTGTGTGGTCTGCTCCTGTATGTGAGACAGTGTTACATTTCTGTGTGGAATGCTCCTGTATGTGAGACAGTGTTATATTTCTGTGTGGTCTGCTCCTGTATGTGAGACAGTGTTACATTTCTGTATGGTCTGCTCCTGTATGTGAGACAGTGTTACATTTCTGTGTGGAATGCTCCTGTATGTGAGACATTGTTACATTTCTGTGTGGTCTGCTCCTGTATGTGAGACAGTGTTACATTTCTGTGTGGTCTGCTCCTGTATGTGAGACAGTGTTACATTTCTGTGTGGAATGCTCCTGTATGTGAGACAGTGTTACATTTCTGTGTGGAATGCTCCTGTATGTGAGACATTGTTACATTTCTGTGTTGTCTGCTCCTGTATGTGAGACAGTGTTACATTTCTGTGTGGTCTGCTCCTGTATGTGAGACAGTGTTACATTTCTGTGTGGTCTGCTCCTGTATGTGAGACAGTGTTACATTTCTGTGTAGCTTGCTCCTGTATGTGAGACAGTGTTACATTTCTGTGTCGTCTGCTCCTGTATGTGAGACATTGTTACATTTCTGTGTGGAATGCTCCTGTATGTGAGACAGTGTTACATTTCTGTGTGGAATGCTCCTGTATGTGAGACATTGTTACATTTCTGTGTTGTCTGCTCCTGTATGTGAGACAGTGTTACATTTCTGTGTGGTCTGCTCCTGTATGTGAGACAGTGTTACATTTCTGTGTGGTCTGCTCCTGTATGTGAGACAGTGTTACATTTCTGTGTAGAATGCTCCTGTATGTGAGACAGTGTTACATTTCTGTGTTGTCTGCTCCTGTATGTGAGACAGTGTTACATTTCTGTGTGGTCTGCTCCTGTATGTGAGACAGTGTTACATTTCTGTGTGGAATGCTCCTGTATGTGAGACAGTGTTACATTTCTGTGTGGCTTGCTCCTGTATGTGAGACAGTGTTACATTTCTGTGTGGTCTGCTCCTGTATGTGAGACATTGTTACATTTCTGTGTGGAATGCTCCTGTATGTGAGACAGTGTTACATTTCTGTGTGGTCTGCTCCTGTATGTGAGACAGTGTTACATTTCTGTGTGGAATGCTCCTGTATGTGAGACAGTGTTACATTTCTGTGTGGAATGCTCCTGTATGTGAGACAGTGTTACATTTCTGTGTGGAATGCTCCTGTATGTGAGACAGTGTTACATTTCTGTGTGGTCTGCTCCTGTATGTGAGACAGTGTTACATTTCTGTGTGGAATGCTCCTGTATGTGAGACAGTGTTACATTTCTGTGTGGAATGCTCCTGTATGTGAGACAGTGTTACATTTCTGTGTGGAATGCTCCTGTATGTGAGACAGTGTTACATTTCTGTGTGGTCTGCTCCTGTATGTGAGACAGTGTTACATTTCTGTGTGGAATGCTCCTGTATGTGAGACAGTGTTACATTTCTGTGTGGAATGCTCCTGTATGTGAGACAGTGTTACATTTCTGTGTGGTCTGCTCCTGTATGTGAGACAGTGTTACATTTCTGTGTGGTCTGCTCCTGTATGTGAGACAGTGTTACATTTCTGTGTTGTCTGCTCCTGTATGTGAGACAGTGTTACATTTCTGTGTGGTCTGCTCCTGTATGTGAGACAGTGTTACATTTCTGTGTGGAATGCTCCTGTATGTGAGACAGTGTTACATTTCCTGCCTGTATGTGAGACAGTGTTACATTTCTGTATGGTCTGCTCCTGTATGTGAGACAGTGTTACATTTCTGTGTGGAATGCTCCTGTATGTGAGACATTGTTACATTTCTGTGTGGTCTGCTCCTGTATGTGAGACAGTGTTACATTTCTGTGTGGAATGCTCCTGTATGTGAGACAGTGTTATATTTCTGTGTGGTCTGCTCCTGTATGTGAGACAGTGTTACATTTCTGTATGGTCTGCTCCTGTATGTGAGACAGTGTTACATTTCTGTGTGGAATGCTCCTGTATGTGAGACATTGTTACATTTCTGTGTGGTCTGCTCCTGTATGTGAGACAGTGTTACATTTCTGTGTGGTCTGCTCCTGTATGTGAGACAGTGTTACATTTCTGTGTGGAATGCTCCTGTATGTGAGACAGTGTTACATTTCTGTGTGGAATGCTCCTGTATGTGAGACATTGTTACATTTCTGTGTTGTCTGCTCCTGTATGTGAGACAGTGTTACATTTCTGTGTGGTCTGCTCCTGTATGTGAGACAGTGTTACATTTCTGTGTGGTCTGCTCCTGTATGTGAGACAGTGTTACATTTCTGTGTAGCTTGCTCCTGTATGTGAGACAGTGTTACATTTCTGTGGTCTGCTCCTGTATGTGAGACATTGTTACATTTCTGTGTGGCCTGCTCCTCTATGTGAGACAGTGTTACATTTCTGTGTGGTCTGCTCCTGTATGTGAGACATTGTTACATTTCTGTGTGGTCTGCTCCTGTATGTGAGACAGTGTTACATTTTGGTCTGCTCCTGTATGTGAGACAGTGTTACATTTCTGTGTGGAATGCTCCTGTATGTGAGACAGTGTTACATTTCTGTGTGGAATGCTCCTGTATGTGAGACAGTGTTACATTTCTGTGTGGTCTGCTCCTGTAGGTGAGACAGTGTTACATTTCTGTATGGTCTGCTCCTGTATGTGAGACAGTGTTACATTTCTGTGTGGAATGCTCCTGTATGTGAGACATTGTTACATTTCTGTGTGGTCTGCTCCTGTATGTGAGACAGTGTTACATTTCTGTGTGGAATGCTCCTGTATGTGAGACAGTGTTATATTTCTGTGTGGTCTGCTCCTGTATGTGAGACAGTGTTACATTTCTGTATGGTCTGCTCCTGTATGTGAGACAGTGTTACATTTCTGTGTGGAATGCTCCTGTATGTGAGACATTGTTACATTTCTGTGTGGTCTGCTCCTGTATGTGAGACAGTGTTACATTTCTGTGTGGTCTGCTCCTGTATGTGAGACAGTGTTACATTTCTGTGTGGAATGCTCCTGTATGTGAGACAGTGTTACATTTCTGTGTGGAATGCTCCTGTATGTGAGACATTGTTACATTTCTGTGTTGTCTGCTCCTGTATGTGAGACAGTGTTACATTTCTGTGTGGTCTACTCCTGTATGTGAGACAGTGTTACATTTCTGTGTGGTCTGCTCCTGTATGTGAGACAGTGTTACATTTCTGTGTAGCTTGCTCCCTGTATGTGAGACAGTGTTACATTTCTGTGTGTCTGCTCCTGTATGTGAGACATTGTTACATTTCTGTGTGGCCTGCTCCTCTATGTGAGACAGTGTTACATTTCTGTGTGGTCTGCTCCTGTATGTGAGACATTGTTACATTTCTGTGTTGTCTGCTCCTGTATGTGAGACAGTGTTACATTTCTGTATGGTCTGCTCCTGTATGTGAGACAGTGTTACATTTATGTGTGGTCTGCTCCTGTATGTGAGACAGTGTTACATTTCTGTGTGGAATGCTCCTGTATGTGAGACAGTGTTACATTTCTGTGTAGCTTGCTCCTGTATGTGAGACAGTGTTACATTTCTGTGTGGTCTGCTCCTGTATGTGAGACAGTGTTACATTTCTGTGTGGTCTGCTCCTGTATGTGAGACAGTGTTACATTTCTGTATGGTCTGCTCCTGTATGTGAGACAGTGTTACATGTCTTTGTGGTCTGCTCCTGTATGTGAGACATTGTTACATTTCTGTGTGGTCTGCTCCTGTATGTGAGACAGTGTTACATTTCTGTGTGGTCTGCTCCTGTATG